TAGATAATCCAGATCAAATATTAGTCAGGAAATTCAGTACACGGCAGTTTCAAATATGAGGTTCTATGGGTTAAAACTTGCACTTTCCTTTGGCATTGAAGTTTGCAGAAACAGTTTTTTATGCTAGCATCAACCCTGAATGCCCTAATGCCCTTTCCCATCATTCTTCAGAGCATGTGTTGTATGACTTAATAATCATCAAAAACTGCATAATTGGTTTTATTTGAATGACGATGGTGTGCATTTTAGTTTAATAAAACCTTGAGCTACCTTTTTGGGCAAAGGACAGTATAGAAATGAAAGAAGTAATCTCTCTAAAAATACTGTAGTTGCCAACAGAAAAGAAAAACACTTTATAGAAACCCTGAAAATTTGTGGATTTTTAAAATCTCATTGAAGAAGTTACACATTTCACTTACTGCTGTTGCTCAATAAAAATAAATTCTTGTAGAAAAGACTTGCCCATAAATGAGACAGTTGAACAGAAATACTTGTGTGCCTATGAATTATAGTTCCGGACTGCTTATACTCTGCCTTAAAGCTGTGTATTCTTTCTCTGTACTTGTGCAATGCAATTATATTAGAAGGCCCTCTTAAAACTGGGTGATCTATTGGTTTAGGGAGCTGAAGATTGATTCCAGATGTAGTCATGCTCTTCTAGTCCTTCAAAAAGTAACTACTGCACCATCTGTTTTGTAACAGACAATTTCAAAGAGTGCCAAGGGAAATGTTAAATACATTGGTCAAACGGCCACCTATACCTCACACACATGAATCCTAGAGGTCACAGTGTCTCAGACAGATTCATATTCTCAAGTTTTTCTCTCAATTGTTCCACTATGGAAACTCAAGGAACAGCTCTCCTTCCTTCCAAAATAGGAAGGTGTTTTCCAGATTATTACCAGTGTTGATATGTATGATGCCAAATTCAGATCTGAATTCAGTGGAATTACTGGAATTCACAGTGACATGTCTCCTATACCTGCCTGACTTCTGGATCCTTGTAGATTATTCCAAATGGCTTTTGGGGTTGTTTGGGTTTGGTTTTTTTTTTTTGTTTTTTTTTTCTTTTGAGGGGTTGGGGTGTTTGTTTTGCCTCTGAACACTCAGCATTTTACTTTTTTTTTTTTTTTTTTTCAAATGAACCCAGTAGCAAAAAAATTAAAGCTAAAATTACTTCAGATTTGGCTGGTTGCCCAAGGAATATGAAGGGTGTGTGAGGTAATGAAGGGTTATTCTATGTCATGAGTGATAATTTTTCCCTAGTTATTTCAGGAAGCTTGAAGTAAAGGAATTTTCTTTGTTCTCTAAATAAAGTCTTATGCATCAATATCTCAAAAAAAAAAAAAAAAAAAAAAAAAAGAGTACTCAAGTCTGACATCAACATGGCCTAAATTCTTCACAACAACAAAACTGGAGTAAAAAACATTCTCTGAAGATTTCCCAAGTATAAATCTGAACTTCAGAGCAGCAACTCATGATTTATACCAAATAGTCCTGAGAAAATGTTTAAAATGAAAACAAAAGGAAACAGAAAATCTGCTAGAAATTAGACAATCACAATCTTCTGCAGTCCTAGAGAGACTCTTTTTTTCTGCAGCGACATTAGGTAAATCATTGGTAAAAAGAATTAAAGATTAACAACATGTCTCCAGTTCAATCCTCTTTGGTTTTCCCAGTGTATCCAGTCCTGTTTCATACCAATTCTTGTAATAAGTTGTTACAAAATTAGCTTAGGACTAGCAGACAGACTAGTGTACCTATTTAAGTATTGCTGACTTTGCTGTGGCTCTCTCTAGTCAATATCACATGCAGAATCAGTGCTTTACACTGTAAGTGTAGTGTCTGGGCATACTCCAACTACATCTAAATGTTCAGTTTCCTTATGGTAAGTAAGAAAAAAATTAGTAGGTAAAACCTCCTTATCTAGAGGATTCCTTAGAACTGAATTTCTTCAAGCTGTTATTTGAGAAGTGTAAGGATATCCCACATACACAGGAAAATTTGCACTTTTTCAGTATTAAACATTATTAAAACAAAGAAAAGTTGTGATGTGGAATAGGAAACACCTGTTTTGGAGGACTTCATAACATAACTTTTTTGACATTGAAGACATCTGAAAGAAATAAATTCTGAAAATGTACATACACTACATTCTGGCTAATGTACATATTGGCATAGGAGAATACATAGATGCCTTTCTGCTACAGCAAAGGCCCCATTACTTAGGACAAGATTTAATTGAAAATAATAGACTCAATAAGTGAGAGAACTAGCTATTATAAATTGCAGATACCCGTATTTCAAGCCCCAAAGAAGGAAATGGTGCCTGAAATAAGGATACAGAACAGGAAATATTTTAAGGGAACATCATATAGAGCTAGTCTATATAACAATGGATAGTTTTGAATCCTGGTCTCTACAGAGCTAACATATCTCTTCCAGAGCTATAAAATTATCTCTTATTTAATCTTAGAAGGTATCTATACTCTCCCCTCAAAAAACACCAAACAAGCCAAAGAACCAAATAATTAAAATCAATCTGGATACAACTTATTCTTGCAAACCAAGCAGTGTAGTTGTCCCACCTCTTGCTGAGGCTGATGATCCTGGAAGATAAGACTTCCAGAATAAAGAAGTATTTAGGGAGAATTTTGTTTTAGCCACTAATACTACACCTCATCTTAATTCCTGGTTTAGAGTAAGAACTCTTAGCTGTTCAAGAACATAGATAATGGATCATAAGAGTCACAAATCATACTCTATTCCTCTGCTTTCTAGACACATAATGTGCCTTTAACTAAATCATACAATGCAGAGCTGAAGACTGGTTCATCCTTTGAAAAATATGCAAGAATTGGTTCAGGTGAGTTATTTCTTGGAATCAAAGAAAGAAAATCCAGAAATTCACGGTCAGTAACCCATCTCTCCTTATTCCATAGTTGTCTTAACTCTAAATGTACAGATAAATCCTTCAAAGCTCACTGTTTTCTGAGCTGAGAGGCTAATTTTCTCCAGCTGAGGCCATTACTCCTCCATTTCACTCTAAGAACACCTTTTATGGTACACCTTTTGCATGGGAAAAATGTGCCAGCCACTTGCTGGCTACTGACTGGGTCATACACACCATGTCAAAGTGATCTATTCCAGCTAAGATGTATAGATCCAAAATTACTCAGCCCAGAGGAAAAAAAAAAGCAATTATTTTATTCAGCTGACACATGCTGTGTTTAGGAGAGTTCAATTTGTAACACTAGTTAATCATTTACAAAAGAACACAGTTTTTTAAAAAGTAACTTATTTGTTCCTCGCAGCAGAGGATTAAGACACAATGTACTGAATAACTGGTGCAATACAATTGCTCTGCAGAAATTATTGTATTTCTATCACACACTTTTTGGAAAACGTAATCACTTTAACTTCCATTGTGTTTGTAACTCAGAGGCAAAAATTATTATGCAGAAAAGTCTGCTTCCTCTCTCAGCCATCTTTTTAGTTCTTTGAGGTTCTTAGGTTTTTTGCTGGTGGTAGTTTTTTGTTTTTTGGGGTTATTTTGTTGTTGGTGGTTTTTTTTGTTTTTTTTTTGTTTTTTAATCAGACAGTGTTGCATCCAGCAAGGATTGATGTTCTTGTCCTGAGAGGAGCAACAAAGCTGGTGATGGGTGTGGAGCACAAATCCTGTGAGGAGCAGCTGAGGGAGCTGGGGGTTTTTATCCTGGAGAAAAGGAGGCTCAGGGGTGACCTTATCACTCTCTACAGCTGCCTGAAATGAGGCTGTGGCCAGGCAAGGGTCAGTCTCTTCTCCCAAATAACAAGCAACAGAACAAGAGCAGACAGCCTCAAGTTGCACCAGGGTAGGTTTAGTTTGTATAAGAGGAACAATTCACTGAAAAGGTGATCAGGCTTGGAACAGGCTGCTTGGGAAAGTGGTAGAATCACTGACCCTGGAAGGGTTCAAAAAACCTGTGGATATGGCATCCAGGGATATGGTCTAGTGGTGAACACAGAGGTGCTGGGGTAATAATTGGACTCAATGATCTTAGAGGTCTTTTCCAACCTTAACAATTCAATGACCACCAGCCCAAATCACAATTACTGACCGTAAATTCTGTGGCACTGACAGTAGGAGAAACGGGTGTGCACGCCTTTACAAATGACTAGATGTCATGAAAGAACCAATCGCGTTCTGGAAGAATGGGTGTGGGGGTACATATTGGAGGGGAGATATGTAGTATGCAGATCTCTGAAAGGTTCTATCTTCCTCGTACCACACCCAATGGGGAAAGTAGGAGGGTGCTTAGAATAAATGGAGTCTGTGTCTGCTAAAAACTGGAGAGATTCTAGATGGGTATGCCCCAGTGGTATCTCCTTAGTTTTCAGTAAAGTTGATTTTTGCAGGACTCCTCTGTCTCTCTGTGGATCCTGGGCTTTGGCAGCATGACTTTCGGCACACTGTTAATGGCTGTGGACTTGCCCCTGGCTTGTCTGCCTGGAGGAGCTCCTCCGTTACTGTTCTGAGGTTACGAGTGTCACCAGACAAACACTACAGAAATAACCCTGGCCACCCACAAGGAGTCCTTTGGCGCACAGTTTGCCGTGGGGAACAAGTGCCGTGGCTCTCCCGGCCGCACTTTCTACACTCTCCCCTCCCCGGTGAGAGCCAGCGCCCTCCCACCCCGCTGTCCTCAGTTACTGCAGGCAGAGGTGACAACAGGCCCTAACCCTGAATTCCCGTGTCAGCACTGAAACGGATCCGTGGCTTTTACACGCCAGCTATACCTGTACTGTGCATCTGGTACATGTTTAACACGTAAGGCTGGGGAAGAGTAATGTTTGCGAACATCTGCAATCTCGATGCGCGCAGGGCTGCGAGTCCCCCTGAAAATCCGACTTGTAAAGTGCCGTCCCCAACACTGCCCCCTGAGTTTGGGGGCAAAGCCGAGTCATCTCCCACCTTCGCCACCACCCGTGCGGGAAAGGACACGGCGGTGCCAGGCCCGACAGTGGGAGCGGGCCCGCGGCGCTCCCGGCCAGGCCGCAGGGGGCGGTCCGGGCCCGGCGCGTCTCTCCCGGGCGCAGGCGCCGCCGTGGGCCCGCGGTGGAGGGCAGCTCGCCCCGGGACGGCGGCTCCATGCGCTGCCAGGTAGGTGCCACCAGCCGGCGACCCCGGGGCCCGTCCGGCCGGAGGCTCGGCCGGTGTCGGGCAGGGCGGCGGGGCTCCCGCTGCCCCTGGCCCTGATGGGCAGCGGGAGCGGCCTGGGCAGCGGGCGCGGGGCGCGGATCCGCGGTCACTCACTGCCCCCCGCCCTCTCCGCCTGTCCCCCGCTGTCCTGAGAGCTGGGGCAGGAAAGACGCGGCTGAGCCGATCGGCATCGAGACAAGCCTGGGAAAGCTTTTCTTGGCGCTGTGGTTCCGGCTGTGTGCTGGTATTTGGGAGCGGTTTTCTGGGCAGGCCCGCGGCCCTGAGCGCTGTTTGCTCCCCGGGCAGGTCTCGGTGCTGTATTTCGCCAGGAGCGCAGAGCTGGCGGGGCTGCGCTGCGAGACCCTCTCGGTGCCACGGGAGATCACCTCTCTGCAGCTCTGGGAGGAGATCGTCAAGGTCCACCCCAGGTATGCAGCAAGTTACCCTTGACGTGCACGAAGAAACGTCGATTTTAAAAATGTTTTTTGTAATACAAATTCGGTGTTTAGCATTGGGCTGGAGCACATAGCAGTTCTTCAACAGCACAAAAACAGTGGTGTTTCCTTCTTTTGGTAACCCGCACTAAATGCTTTGTGTTTTGCACAACTGGAAGCGCTGTAGCTTTATGTATACACAAGGAAGGCCTAGGTGCAGGAGATGTACCCAAAACTGGGCCTGAGAATACATGTGGCCCATTGTCCAGGAGGACTGTGGTGTTGCAACCTGAAAACTACCATGTTATTAGTCTGTGGAGAAGGCGAGATGTTGGAAGGAGGGATCAAGCACAGCTAGGGCAATAAATAAGAAACAAATGATAATATGTGGGTGTTTCCAGTTGCTTAGGTTAGACATTAGGAAGAAGTTCTTCATTGAAAGGATGCAAAGACATTGGAATGGGCTGCCCAGGGAGGTGGTTTTTAAGGAAAAAAGGTTTTGAAGGTTTTTAAGGAAAGGTTGGACTTTGTGCCATGGTCACAGAGTGCTTTTCAAACTTAATTGATTATGTGATTAACTGTACTGTAAGCCATTGGTCTGAGCCCATGCACACTCTGGAAGGCAGGTCTGGAAGGGAATTGAAGCCCTCCCAGGCTTCCAGCCACTCAGCCCTGACACAGCAAATATGGTCAGCCACTTCAATGAGCTGAAAAAGACCCACACCACTGTTGCTTGCATTTCATAAGGAGTCTGGTCCTGAGAAAGTACTGTGTATGCTGTAGGGGTCTCAGCAGCATTGGTGCTTTTGGGGGTGTCAACAGAAATGTCCCCTCTGTTTAAAGCTGAGGGAAGGTGCCCAGTCCTTCAAGAATGAGTTTGATGGACAAAGGTGCAACACCATTTTTGAGGGATAGAAGGGAGTAAAAAAAGAGTAAGATATAAAAGAGGTTGTGGTCCTCAGGATTTAGTGCTCACTGCTCTGGAATTTCCATAACTTTGGACTTCGGTGTCCAACTCTTCCTTCAGGCACAACCTTTCTTTAATACAATGCTCTCAAACACTGTGAAAAACAATGAACTATTTAACATTGGTGTCTGTTTCCAAGTGAGAAACTGTTCACAAAACACTGGAACAGGGACCTTTTCCTCACAGAATATTGAAATAAAGTGTGTTTGGGTGCTAGAGGCAGTAGGGAATGCGTATATTTTACTTTGCAGCCTTTTCGTCTATGTCAGAAGCAGCAGCAGCACCCTTGGTCGTTTTGCTGCAATTTGTCAACTTTGTCCTTTTATGAATGATGACTTGGGGCAGTAGAATTTTCTGGAAAAACTCAATATAATTGTAGGGCATTGACCACAGACTTCTATTCACATTGCTAATGGATATTCAAATTGCAGCTTGAGTGTACTTGACAGTGCTTTTCTGTTCCACACTTTTTCCCCAACTAATTAGCTTGCAAGGGACTTTAATTAGAGCCCATCCTTCTAATGGGCACTTCAGTTTCATGGTAGTGCACAGTTCTTTAGTGGCTTGCTTTGCTTTCATACAATCCCTCCCTTCAGTCTGTTCTCTGAATCAGTGCTACTGTGTTTTGTTCAGACTGTGCCTTGACTACTTTTGTCTGTCTGGCTGGTAGGAAACAAGGTGATTTTTACTTTTACTCTTTTGGTCTGCTTACTTGATTCTGGGCAGTATAGCTGAACTGGCTGTGCCAGATTTTGTAGTCTCAAACAAGAACTGTTATCATGCCTGTGCCATGTGAAGCAAAATGCAATACTTTTCTGTCTTACTGCTATGGCCCTCATGCTTGCTATGTAATTGCACTTAGTCATAGAAATTATTCCCTGCCTCGTGATATCCAGAGCTATGGACTCTCACAGCAATATCTCACATAAAAAATTTGTAGAAGATCTGCCAGAAGACACATCACATTTGCTCTCTTAGTTCTGTGGCCACTCCTTATCAATAGCAGATTTCAGACCTGTAAGTACAAAAGACCCAAAGCCTCACAGAGTCTGAGCACCACACACAGCAAGAGCAACTCTCTGACTACTGACTGAATCTTCATGAGATCTCATAAGCAGCATACCACAATGCTTCTTGGTGTTTAAGAAAATTGCTCCAGTCCTGCCAGACTGCATCAGGACAGTATTTCCTTCTAATCCCAAATTGGATAGTTGCTGCCTCTTGAGTTACCAGCTTTTTAATAAGCTTCTGAAGTGGGTCTGGTATTGATTGGTCTGTTCTGACATAGGCCTGTGACAAATCCAATTCCTGATTTCTGAAAATTATACTGATCTAATTTCTTCTTAGCCATTACAAGAAAATCCAAGACTGGGAAGTGGGTGTTTGTTATATTTTTGACAGTGTCTTGGAAGTGAAGTTGTGTAAGTCTCAGTGATTTTTACCTCAGCTGCCCTGTACTGTGCACCACCTTGCTGTTTAATGAAATCTCATGTTTAAATGCAAAGATTGTTTGGAAACCTATTTGTGCTGTTGCCAATCCCCCTCAGGCTTGCTCTCCTCCGGGATCAAGTGGTATTTGCTGTTCGTCAGGAGTACGTGCTTCTTGGAGATCAGCTCCTGGTCCTGCAGCCTGGAGACGAGGTTGCCATCATCCCACCAATTAGTGGAGGCTGAACCTGCCCAGGTTCTGTTAGGTAGGTATCACTTACTGCCTAGTTTCCTGTGGAGTGTAATCCTGTGCTAAAATATCTCATGAATTCTGTGATTTTACAAGAACCTTTTCTTGTTTAGGTCTGAAGATATGATTGCAATTCTCCCTCCACCCCAGTACTCTTGAGAAAACCCAAATTGTGTTTCCGTCTGGTGAGTGCAGTTGTGCTGAGCAGAAACTATAAGCCAGTGCACCAGTAAATTATTAACATGTATGCAGTAAATGGAAGACACTTGCCAGAGAGGTCAGGCATTGCTTTGAATCTGGGTTTTAGGTCTTTCCTGGTTACTATTTCCTTGTTGTATCTTCCTACCAGTGGAAACTTGGCTTGCTTAAACAAGATAATAATGAAAAATTTCCTGCCACTTTTAACAGAAAAGATAATAAAGTAAAAATAATTGACTGCTTCTTAGAAATTTTGTTAGTTTGTTGCTGTTAAAAAGATGTCCTTAGAATACCTTCATTTCTTTGCCTGTTTTCAAGTGCCAGTCCATCTATTCACTGCGGCTTATTCTATTGCTGCTGATCCTATTGCTTCTTATTCTTAGGTGATCTGATGACTGGCTTCTACTCAGATAAGTTAAAAGTGTGTTCTGTGTGTCTGTAACAGACTGATAGTATGAGGTCCTGAATGTGCTGGAGAGCATACTCAACTTTAGCTTTAGAACTATTAACTTAATTAGAAATATTAATGCAATAAAACCAAGTCATTGCTTGTTATTTACAGTTAATATTCTCTCAGTGAGGCTGCTGAGAAGTGAATTTCACATGTAGACTAGTCTCTTGGGCAAATAGATAGTGCCTGTGTTGTGCATAAATTGGGGCATGAGCACTGGATAAAAAGCAGTTGGCTGATACTAGTATCTCCAGGAACAACAGGTAGGTATCACTTTGCTGATACCTCCTTGAGGAGATGGAAGCTCTCTCAGAATAAATAATCAAGGACTCAGAATTTGCTGCTTAGGACTGGACTGAAGTTGGGTAATCCAGTCTGTCCTTAAGATCTGTTAGTAGTGTATTTAGTATATCAATGTAATTTTATTTTAATATTGACATTTTGTTACATCTAAATTCTTGTCTGAAAATGATGGTAGGTAGGTTAATTACAGCAGGTTAATGTAGCAGCATGAATGCTGTGTACTCTACAGCCATTACATAATTTCTTCTAGATCTCTCTGTGAATTGACTTCAGCTTAGGTAGGCCCTTCTAAATTCAGTGGGGATCAGCCTGGGGTTCAGCCAAGTCCATATGTTTTAAGGGTGCTGCCCTCTCTTCTGCTTGGCAGCCAAGTGCTGTGCAGTCCTGATGTAATCAGTAAATAATAGTGGGATGGCTATTTGAGTTGTTTGGCCTGGTTTGTAGCTGTATGTAGCAGACTCACAACATTTCCCATTCTTTGTTTATATTACAGGAGATTTATGAGGATGAATATTCTTGGAAAGAAAACAAGGAATGCTTTTGGGCAAATTCAGAAAAATAATTGTACTCTTTTGAAAATAAAGTGTTACTCTTCCTAATGAGCATATTTACCTTTGACTTTTTACAGAGAAAAAGTTTCTGTGTTTCTAAATGGTTCTAACAGATGTTTCAGTTTCAGTAATTTAGTTTGGACTGAGTGAAATGAGTGAGGATTAATTAGGGGTTTTAGGTGTCTTGACTCTCCTTTGGAATTGCCTTTTTGTGCATTTTAACACGGAGTCAGTTTTTAAAATAATCTTCCCTAAAATTCTTTGTTGCAAGGTTTAGACTACTCTGTCATAAATATTGTTCTAATGCTTTTACCTTGGTAGTCTGCGTTCTCTGTCTGCATGGGAGGTCACCACAGGACAATCGCATTCTTTTCAGTCTTAAAGTTCAGAAAGGTTCAATTTTATATGAGTGCAGACTTAGTTTGCAAGCTGTATGCTATTTTGACATTCTTGTAACATGAAAGCTACTTAAAGTAGATTAACTATTTTAGTGCAGACAGAGAAGAAAATACAAACTATACCCCAGAGTTACTAACTTTTTAGTAGTGCTTTTGTTCCAGTAGCTCTGTCTCACAGAAAGATTTTTACTGTGCAGCTGATGATTCCGAATCCATTGCATTAAAAAAATATGGATAGAGATTGATTCAAAGTTAAAGCTAGTACTCTACCAGCAGAAAGTATTGCCTTAGCAATAACATACCAATCTGTAAATACTTAATGATGTCTAGACAAAATTTTGAAGGTGACTTTTTGGTTGTGTAGTTGTGTGGTGCTGCAGGAAGAAAAACCCAATCCAGCTATTATTACAAATACACAACTATAGTGTAATTAAGTTCAGTAATTTGATTTCATATGTGTGGGAATTAAAAGTCATCAAATGGAATAGTTTTTCAAAGAAAAGGGACTTTATTGAACTTACTGCAATTCATATATGCATTTATATTCACATTTAAGATTTAACCTTATTACAGTTTTTCTCTTGTCACTGTTTGAAAACTAATTAAATGAACTGATGTAATATGCCTGGGTTTCACTGGAAATACTAGGTTACCTGTCCGAGCAAGGTAATTTTATTTTTTATTCTACTGTGCCATGGTAGTATTTAGATGCTAAGAGTTCAAAGTCCCATTGTGTATGGCATTTCTGCTAATGCTGGGAGGCAGTGTTATCTAGTCATCATTATCAGTGTAGAGAAGGTAAATACAAGTGAAGGAAAATAAGGTAATGCAAAATTATTTGCTCAGTTGCTCATATATATGTTCCTACATCATATATAGTTATTTATAATCTAGGTGCAAGGTCATACTTCGTAGTCAGGGCAATCCCAATCACAAGTACATGCTGGAGGGAGAATGGATCAAGACTAGCACTGGAGAGAAACACTTGAGGGTATTTGTGAACAAAAAGCTCAGTATGAGCTGGCAATGTGCACTTGCAGCCCAGAAATCTGGCTTTCTCCTGGGCTGCATCAAAAGCAGCAGGGCCAGCAGGTCAAAGGGTTTGATTCTGCTCCTCTGCTGTGCCCTCAAGAGACCCCACTGGAGCACTGTATCTGGTTCTGGAGCCCCCGGTGCAAGAAGTTTTATTGGAATGAATCCAGAGGAGAACCACTAAGTTCATCAGAGGACTAGAACACCTCTCCTATGAAGACAGGCTGAGAGCTGGGGTTTTTCAGCTTTCAGAAGGCTCCAGGGAAACCTTACATCACCTTTTAGTATCTAAACGGGGCTTACAATAAGTTTGGAGGGGGAATTTTCACAACAACGTGTAGGGATAGGACAAGGGAGAATGGCTTTAAGCTGAAGTGAGGGTAGGTTTAGATCAGATAATACGAAGAAATTCTTTACTATGAAGGTGGTGAGGCACTGGCACAGGTTGCCCAGATAAGCTGTGGATGCTTCATCCCTGAAAATATTCAAGGTCAGGCTGGATGGGACTCTGAGCAACCTGGTCTAGTGGAAGGTGTCCCAGCCTATATAAGGATGGTTGCAACTAGATGATCTGTAAGGTCCTTTCCAGCCCAAACCAGTCCTTGATTCTGTAATCATTGCATCACACACTAGCGAAGCCTCAGCTGTATGTTCTATTTTATCCTGTCTGCAAAAATATACTAACAACTTCTAGCTGCACAAAGTAAAATGAGGAAAAAAATCTTCCCCCCAGGGATTTTAATCACTTTTAATACTTAGTTACTATATCTGAATTAAGTAAATTGTAAGGAAACATACAGCTTCAGGCAGAAACATCATTAAACTGTGCTTATTGATGTTTTTCCTCAGTGGAAGTCAGTCCTTCATCTGCAGGACAGCAGCTGCTCCTTGTATGTTTACAGATAGACACACTACAAACCATTGGGCTCTATTATCTAGGCAGAGCTGGTCAAGTACAAGACTGAGTTTTCCTTTTTTTTTGGAGGTTGGAGAGAAGCCCTCTGCTGTTTGAATGTCATTTTTCCTGGGAATTGTACAGAATACTGAGCACAATCACTTGATTTGTGAAAGGATTATTTTTCGCTTTAGAAGAGAGAAATACATTAACTTTTTCATATTTGGTGTTCCTTTTTCCATGTTTATGTTTGCTGTTACCATGCAACTAATTAGTGTATTAATTTCACAAAAATAAATGTTTAGCTTGTTTTTCAGTGGATATTTTATGAGTGAATTAAAACTTATGCAGTGGTTCCATACTAGTGTTGTGCTCTGATACAGAAAATCAATGGTATATCTTAGTTATCATTGTTAAATTCTACTTTGGGACCCCATGATCAGGGCAATTCCTGAGTAGCAGTAGTGTCTCGTTAGTGCCTTTCTAGCACTGCAGTCTCCTGGAAGATTTTTCCAGGGTGACCTTAAGTGCACCTTCCCCATCAGCAATGCAGCTGGGAAAAAGGGTGCAGAAAAGAAGAGAGAATAATTGTGTACTTCCCCACAGTGACCAGGAACAATGAATGGAAGAGATGTTGTACTGAGTCACAGTTGAGTGTTACAATGTGTGTATGCTGCCATGGTAAAGACAATGAAATGTCATTTTTTGTCCCTAGCTGTGCATGAGGCAAGTACTGCTTTGTTCTGGAACAATGATATATCAGTCTTGTGTAACTTTGGGTTCTTCAGCTGGCATGTAAAAGCGAAATGGAAATGTTTCTGGGAGGGATGGTGTGCTAATTAGAGGTAAAATATATCTCACTGAAATTTAAGTCCATGCTCTAAACTCAGTATTCTGTCTCCCTCTGTAGGGCTACCCTCTCTGCTAGGGCAGTATTGTCATAAGAGGGCAGATTACTATGTTCTAAGATAAATGCTTAAGCTGTGTCTGAAGTGACCCAGAAGCATTTCCAAATTGCCAGGTCAGGGGAAGAATCCCAGCAGTGTCACACTGTGTGTTAGGAAAAGATGTGGTTGTGCTTCTTGCTGTCCACACATGCGGAACTACAGTGCTGGATGACAGCTACTCTGTGTTATGGTGAGGTCCATTGAGTGGGATGATAGCTGCAGATCTGTCTACCTACAAGGAAAACCCAGCTTTCTGGAATGAGTCCAGATATTTCTCTTCCTGTAGTGAAGGCCAAACCCACCTCTCCATGAGATCAGCCATGTTGAGTTGGTGGCTCTGGTACATAGAGGGATGTTCCCAGACACAAATGCTACAGACCCAGAGGGTCATCATGTGATTCCTGCAGAGATCTGCCAGATGAGGGCTGTCTGTGGAAGTGCATGTCTTCAGAGCGATAATTTGTCCTTCTGAAAAGATGCTTTATTCTTGGCTGGCAAAATTTGAATACACTGATCCACCCCTTTGTCTGGTCGAACATCCATATACCAGCACTGATTGATTTTAAGAGTTTCCTTTCCTGACTTTGAGCATTGTGCTGTTCTCAAGAGAAGCTCAGCCTGATGCATACGATGAAAACAGCAACTGATGGACTGTCATGGGAGGGACAGGGGAGGAAGGGGGTTGTTTTATAAGGGGCCTACCCAGGAGATGGCAGCTGAGAGATGGCTGAGCAGGAGGAGCGGCTCCTGACCTGCTGAGGTGCTGGCTGTGCTGGGGAACACAGGCTCTCACTTCGGCTGTCGCTGGTGAAAGTGGCACTGCTGCACTTAGATTGCTCAGCTTTGAACTAGAGTTTTGGCCTTTCTCTCTGCTCACTTTATGCACAGCTGTTCCAAGTAAGTTGTAGTTTTATGGAGTAGCACATTCAGTTGTTTCTTCAGAAGCATTAAAAAAGAACTGCTAAATCTAATTATTAACAAATTGTATGTTAAAGCAGAAAGTGCTGCCCTTTCCCTTTTAAAATCCCGTGAAAAATAGTCTTGAGCATTAAGTGCCATTAAGTACAATTAAGTGTCCTGTGGAGGTGATTGAAAGGAATGCAGAATACATTGGTGACTATAAATTACCAGTTTCTTTAAGAACCTTAGGCCAGTTTTTTGAAAAACAAACACACCATAAAGTCTGATCATATCAACTTACCAAAAATTAGCATCCTGATGTATCTTTATAGCCGTTCTTTTTATAAAAGTTCCATTTTGACTATTTTAAGAGGCAAGTACATTTTAAAAACTGCTAGCATACTAAAACCTTTGATTGCATACAAATAATTGACTGATTAACTGAGAACAGAAATGTTCACTTAAAATGTAGGACTTGACTTTTCTAAAGCTGTGAAAATGTACACTTCATTTACTTTCACAGGCAATAAAAAATTGAGGTAATTAGCTATAGATTTTGAGATGCATTTTCATACCTTCATTTTTTTAGTCTTTAATTTGCAAGCTTTTGTTGTAGTTTGGTTTTGGGTGTGCTTTAACCCCAGTCAGCACCTCAGCCCCACCCAGCCATTCACTCACTCTGCCACTCGTGGAATGGGGGAGAGAATAGAAAGAGTAAAAGTGAAAAGTCTCCTGGGTTGAGAAGGAAGACAGTTTAATAGGGAAAGTAAAAACTGGTCATGCAAGCAAAGCAAAACAAGGAATGCATTCACCACTTCCCATTGGCAGGCAGGTCGAGTCAACCCCAGGAAAGCAGAGCTCCATTACATGTGACAGTGGCTC